ACCTGATTAAATTATTATTCCAACTTAATAAAATAATCCCGACTTCAACGATAAAAATTCAAATTAAAAAATAAAATAATCAAAACAATATTTAATTAAATAAATAATTAAATATCGGGGCATTACAGAGACATCATTGTTGGATGATCTCCAGCTATTTGTTTCACTAAGGTATCATGAAGGATTTGATTGACTTAATGATCTTATCTCCTTTACTTAGGTCTTGATCCACCTTTCTTTTTACTTTTGCTACATATTTTAGGAGTATGGTTTCTACCATATCTCTAACATGTATGGTACATACATTGTTAATGAACAACCTCATATAGTATTGACTTCTACATAAGTCCGTCTATAATTTCTTAACATAGCGCTTAATTTGTCCCGAATCAGAAAACTAACATACTAATTCTAACATTTATTGTACTAACTTTTACTCTAATGCAATTTAAATTTCCCTCAATTTACTTTATGTCATTTAATTTGAGCATCTTTATCATTTATGCCATTTCTCTTTGTCCACTTGAATTTTTATTTTATGTTATTTTCCCTTTGTCAACTTGGACATATGTTTATGTCTATGCACTTTTTTCCTTTGTCCATATATACTTTTATTCTTGATCTTAAAAACATTAATAATAAACTTGAACATTAAAAGGCTTAAGGATATCATTGGACTATTGTTACTATCCCTTTGCATATTAGAGTATTTGGACCTTTAGACTTGGGATATGACCTTTTTACTTTGAGACCTTTGGACCTTGAGATCTTATTGTTATTTTGTTTGTGTATTGGGAACTTTTTGTGTGCATGTGTTACTTTAAAATTCATCTGATGCAAAAATAATTCATCGGAAACACCAAGTTTATCTGATACATGCCAAGTCATCTGTACATTTTTCTTGAATTCATCTGATGCCAGCTTACACATGATGAACCTTTATTAATTTAATGCTTATTACTTCGTTATGTGGCTTAAATATAAAGGATGATAATGTTATGTTGACTTTATTATGTCAAGTGTGTGCTTCTTGTTTGGTTATATCTTTATTTACTTTAGCTTTTACTTTATGCTTTAGGATAGTCCCTTCATTCTCTTACCCATCTTCTTTAATTTCAAAGTCTTCTCACTCATTTTCAAAACCTTCTTTTTTTTCAAACTTAAACAAATTTTATTATAAACCTTGACTTTGTCAAATACATTTTCAAAACCTTTTTCTTAATCAAACTTTAATTAACTTAACCAAAGTCTATCTCTTTTATTCAAAAACTAAAAAAATACAAAACTTCACTTCAAAAATTTTTCCATTTGGCTTTTGATTTTAAAATCTTTTCTTAAAGATTAGATGTGAGTCATCTATGTGGTTGGTATATAATTCTCCCACATCCATAACTTTAATTGATATGATGTTGAATCTTTTCCACTTGAAGGATTTAGTGGCATACTTGTTGAGTTATCCAGGTTGAAGCCCTCCTTTCACTTGTGATGCAAAGTTCCATCATTCTTACGTTTATGGATATTTGGTTGAGTATTCTCCTTAAGATGACAAAATATATCTTCTCTTAAAATCAACCAACAAACAAATTTGTTCTTTTTTAAAAGAACTATGTGGTTCTGATTTCATCATTTCACATTGGTGATACGTAGGCACATGGCTCATTGAAGTCTTTCCGAATCAAAATTGTAAAATCCATTTCTTGTCTCATCTCCACAAACTTTTTGAAAACTTTTCTTTTTAGCCAAATACATAGATTTTCAAAGAGGTTCCTGCAGAGTACCATAGATGTTTAGGGTGCTAATACCTTCCCTTTGTATAACCAATCCCCTTACCTAGATCTCAGTTTTATTAGTTTTCTTTAAAAACTTCTTTGGGTTATATTCATTCTTTTCATATTCCTTTGGAAATATTAAAGTGCATTGGAAACTTTCACTTACTGAGTTAAGTTAATCAATAGCTTAAACTCAACTTTTCCCCTCTACAACTGAATTAGGGTTGACATCTATCCAATAATTCTCCTCACAGGATGGCTCTATGTTTCTGGATGACGGATCTCAGAATCATGATCTCACCTCAGAAATATTATCGTCAATCACAATAGACTTGTGAGTTGGAAATGATCCCAAGAGAGTATTGTATGAGTGAAGTTCACTAGTTTATCTGAATAGACTAGGAAGTCCAACAGATATGTGCAACCATCAACTCCAAGGTTCTAAACAAGATCCTCACAATCATTGATCCCACCTTGGAAATTTCGTCATTAACACAAATATATTTGTGATCCAACAATAGTTCCAAGAAAGTATCATCTGAGTGGTATTAATAGCCAAAGGGTTAGGATATTCTAAAAGGTCCCTAAAGCATTGATCCTTTTTAAAGACATTATTGTCAACACGAATAACTTACACTGACAATAATACCCACGAAAGGAACTACTCTAGGTAAGGTTTTTGCACCGACCAACCAAGACACTTTCGTCCGAAAAATCAATATTATGCAACAGCCTCCTAACTTAGGTGCACTATAGCATGGGTAGTGGTTTTTTCCTCACAATATCAATAATTCAATCAATAATAATCCCACACAATGAATATATGAACAAGATAATAAATAAAGCATAAGGAAATAAAAGAACTGAAGCATAAAATAAGCAAGAATAAAAGAACCAAGAAGAAAGAAAACAATAAATAAACATAAAGACACAAACACACACAAAAATTAAACTAGGGTGGACTCGCTTAGGGGAGTAAATCCCCAGTAAAGTCGCTAGCTGAAGTGACACAAAAAATACCCGAGCGCATCACACACTCGAAATATTTAAAATAATGAAGTCGCCACCAAAATTTATTTGTTCCAAAAGGAACAGGAAAATATCGAATAAAACTCGTGAAAGAAAAATAATGGTCATCACAACCAAAAGAGGGTTCGGGAGTCGATTATGCAAGGGGAAAGTATTAGCTCCCCTCACATTCATCATACTCGATGGGAACCATTTAGTTGGTGTATGTTCGAGTGTTAGCGTGATAGTTTGTGATATTTTATTTATTTGATAAAATAGAGAAAGAAGAAGGGTTTTTCTTTTTTTAGTTTATTGAGCTTTCCAAGACTTTGTATCTTATGCCTACGTACCCCCTCAATGCAGTAGAGAAGTCAGAGATTTGTAGTTCTCCTTAAAAAGACAAAGAATTTGTTGGTTGATTTTAGGAGAATTATGCGGTAGACATTTCAAACTTTTAAACTTTGCCTTGTTTTCTTGTTTGAGAGGCTTAAGTCTTAGAGTTCATTTCATATTGAAATGGCTAAGGCACATTCATTTTGAAAAAGTTTTTCGAAAAAGATTCGCACTAGGGAAGAAAATAAGTTTGATGATTGCAGTTGTTTTTATGTGGGAGACAACTATTGGACCATAAGTATAGACAACAAATGCTCCAAGTACTCTGAAGGAGGGGATCGAATCGTCCCAACCATCTTTTTCAACCCAAATGGTTTTTTTATCAAAAAGTGTGAAGTGAAACAAGGTTCGCTTATTTAAGTTTATTTGAAATAAAAAAGCCAAGTATAAGGATCATAAGTTTACAAAGCCAACAACCCAAATATTATAGAAGGAGGGGATATAATCGTCCCAACCATATTTTCCATGTTTATTAAGAAAAGGGTTTTGAAAAGCAACTCGACATTGGATTGAGGTTTGAGGATTTGATTATGAAAATGGTTTAAGTGAACGAGAATGGTTGATTGCGATGCAAAAGCATTGACTTACAAGTCTGGGGTATGGATTGATATATGGATCAATAATAACTTGGGTTGGTCAATTGCCATGTAAAAATATCGACTTACAAGAAGTGGGGTGTGACTCGATATATGGATCGAGAATGCGGGGGTTTGATTGATTTTACATGCAATAGTTGACAAGTAAAGTAAAAGAAATAAAGAAAGTGGTAAAATTAATTTACAAGTCCATGGGATTGGGGGTATACATTTCTGAATGGGGATGAAATAAACAATAAACACAAGCCCAAACAAATAAGCATACACATATGGATTAAACACTCAAATAAGCACCCAATCAAGAAAAAAAACATGAGTATCATTGTAAGAAATCCTAAGAGTAAGCCATGTGGGTGTGTGCAAAACATGCTCATTGTAAGAAATCCCAAAAGTAAGCCATAGGCTGATAGTGATGCTTAAAAAGCAATAGACTTACAAGGTATAAAATGACTCCACATTGAATGGAGAGTTAGTTCTTTTTGAAAAGGGTTTAATATAATGCTTGAAGTGATTAACAATTGAATAAAACAATAAAACACAATCAACATGAAAGCGATAAAAATTATTACATCAAATGGGGATAGGGATATAACTTGTTGAATAGGGATGAAATATATCAAAAGCATACAAGACAACCACACAAACAAGCACAATTTAAACAATTCAAACAAACAATCAAATTCAAACTATACAAACAAACAAAACAATTAACTAAGTTAAATAAATTTATTTAATATAACTAACTAATTAATTAATTAATTATATTAAATAAAAATATTTAAGGTAATTAACTGTTTAAGTGTATTTTTATGAATTTTGAGATATAATATAAAAACCAAATAACTAAGCAATTAAAACTAAAAAGAAAATAACAATAGTAAAAGAAAAAGGAAACGGGACAAGATAAGCAAAACAAGGGGATGCAAAAACTAATCTTCCAGGACCCAGAAAGACAAATCCCACGCGCTGCAAGGGGAGATCCAATGGACCTCCAATCAACCAGTGTTGATTCTGGAAATCAGATTTGGTGCTTCAGATCTTGATGGTCAACCAAATTGACCATTTAGGAGGATGATATATTACGAGGGAACATGATAAGGGTAAAAGCGCGCATATGGTATCTAGGGACCAACACCATTAACCGTTGACAAGTATCTTATGTGGTGGCGACACATGTCACCATCGTATCATAACAAAACAACAACTTAAAATCCAAAACACTACAAACTTACTCATGTTTCCATTAGTTTCTCTCTCTTCATCTAACAAACAACAAACCTGCTCTGCACATCTTCACTTTCTCCGACCCAAATCACTGGAGAAGGTGGCGGCGTGTGGCAGCTGCTACCGTGTTCTCGTGAAGCCATCACATCAAATTGCCAGAGTCCAAACAAACCCCCCCTTAAATTTGAAGTGTGATTACAAATCCGGTCTCAAAATGCTTAGAATCCGAACCAAAAATTCTAGATCTAAAGGTGCACAACGAAACCCTATATTATCAAAATCAAATTAAACCTTAGATAAACAATGGAACAAGAAATTTCATGGTGAAAGGAGCACATGGATAACAGTTGAAGTTGTATCAAATGATGATGATGAGGCAAGGACAACGCACACAAGATGATAGATATTCCTGATTATTCCCTTTTGCTGTTAAAACTTAGCCTTGTAGTTGGTTTTGTATTGTAGTGAAAGTCCCATAAAATGGGGTAGTACCCAATAGAAACTTGGAAAATGAATATTCTGCAACTTATATCAATAAATAAAAACTAAGTCTAAATATATTTCGGTGCACATACCCACAAAAAATGCCTCCTATTTTTGTTATATATTCCAAATGTAAAATGAAACAAAGTAAAATGTAAACATGTAAAAATAACCAATCCATGACAATATGAAATGGTCATGGAATGATTGGAAACAAAAATCAAGGAAAGACCCTAAAAAGCAAAGAAAACTCTTCAAGAAAAACAGATAAAATGAAATACCCTAATTTCAAATCAACTAGTCTTTTGAAAAAATAAAGGAAGAGATAGGGTAAAATTTAAGGTGTGACAATTGCCATTATTTGTAGGGGTAAAAGATAGTTTAAATACCAATGACCCAAAATTTTCCCAGGGATGTAATGTGTTTGAGATGAATGAAATGAACCAAAGATTAGATGCAAAGCAGCCAACTGGACTATTTTACTTCTAACTATCAATTATGAATGGAGTTGAGACTTTCAAAAACATATGAAGACAAACTCATAAACTTCAATTTAAATTGATTCAAATGGAGGATAAGGATACAATAAATGATTATGTGAAACGAATTATGCAGTTGGTGAATCAACTTAAGTCTTGTAGAGAGGCTGTTTCGGAACAAAATATTGTGTTGAAGATCTCTCGTTCTTTGACAACATCATCGTGGTGATTGAAGAGTCGAAGGATCTTCTGACGTTGAGCAAAGATAAGATTCAAAGTTTGCTTGAGCCTCATGAGAAATGGATGAGTGAGAGGAGTAACGACAAGGAAACGACGAAGATTTATTTGCAAGCATGGTTCAATGAGAAGAAGAAGAAGAAGTCGAAAGGAAAATGGCCCATGAAGAGTAAAGGGAATTTTAGAAATTTTGGTGGAAAAGAATCCCCAAATTCAAAGATTTTAACTTATCAAAAGGGTGATAGTAACTAAAATAAAAATGTTGGTAAAGGAAACTTTAGAGGTGAAATCAAGAAGTTTGACAAGAGTAAGGTACAATATATTAATTGTCAAAAGCTTGGTTATTTTGTAAGAGAATGCAATGAGAAACAGAGGGAATCTAAAAGAGATGAAGCTAAAGTTTTTATAAAAGAGGTGGATTATGAGAATACGCTCTTGGTCATGATCACAGAAGACGGATGCAACAACAGGCTGTCGGGCAGCAGCAATTCAGGGAATGCTGCATAAACATTTGCAAAAGAAAATGTTATGGTGATTTTGGGAGAAGGGGTCCAATGAAATTAAGAATGATACATGGATTCTAGTTGTTCTACGCATATGACGGCTATGAAGGATTGGTTTGTCAAAAGAAATCAAGCTACGAAGAATAAAGTGAAATGCGCATATGACACCACTTTAGCGACCAATGGGATCAATGATGTTTTAATCATGAGAAGAGATGGTGGATATTCCTTGATCAAAGATGTATTGTACATCCTTAGAATCAAACTTAACCTTCTAAGTATTTTCCAATTGCTTGATAAGTGTTACAAGATTTGCATAGAAGACAAGACTTTGTGCATTATGGATGCAAACGGGGTTTTGGTCCTTAAAGCTCTTATGGATGCCAATAGAAATTTCAATATTAAGTTTAAGGTTGTGTAGCATAGGTTTCTTAATACAAAGGAAAGTCGAGAAGAGTGGTTATGGCACTACAATCTCGGGAATCTCAATTTTATAGATCTCAATGCATTGTAAAGGAACTGAGTGGTAACCAGGTTTCCATCCATCAACATTCCAGCTGGGATTTGTGAGCAGTGTGTACAAGCGAAGCAATAGAAGGGTAAATTCAGCAAGGATACAGGTTATATAACTAAGCATCGCCTTAGGTGGTGTATTCTGATGTGTGTAGGCTGATGCAAGTTTATTTGTGTGGTGGCAATAGGTACTTTGTCACTTTTATCGATGATTTTAGTAGAAAGCTATGGACATACCTAATTAATAGAAATGATGAGGTATTTGAAGTGTTTAAGAAGTGTAAGTCCATGGTTTAGCGAAATAACGCTCATAAGCTCAAAGTTATAAAAATGGATGGCAGAGGCGAGTATGTCTCAAATGACTTTGTGAAGTATTGTGATGAAGAGGGGATAGTGACGGTGGAGAAAAACCTAAGAAGGGGGGGGGGGGGTTTGAATTGGGTTTTAAAACTTTTTCAATTAGAAGTGCTTTTCACAAATGATCAGAATTAGAAACAATGTTAGGATTGGAACTGGTAATCAGAAATAGAAATAAAAGGACACTTCTGGTTTATCCATGTTCGCCATAGAAAAGGTTAATCCAGTCCACCCGCCAAAGTAACTTCCCCTTAGAAAAGGACTTAATCCACTATAATCAAACTGATTACAACTGCACGGGCAACCTGTCGGTGACTAACAAATACACGAGATATCCGCTGGTGACTAACAACAATGATAACCTGTTAGTGATCCCTTAAGAGTTCTGACCTACCCGGTCCCATAAGAGATATAAAGATCACTCACTCCTTAAAGCTTCTGACCTACTCGGTCCTTTGAATAAGATTTCTTTAGGCTTTATAAAAAGACTTTCTCTTTGCCTTAGAAAAGGACTTTCTCATCTACCCATTGAATAATTGTGTTTACAATTTTACTTGTTACAAACGGATTACACAGAAGTTTAAGTACAAATTGTTTAACACAAATATGAGTAACAACTCTTGTGTTCAAAAATTTTAAAAAAGTAACACAATAATGAGAAACAACTCTTGTGTTCTAAGAATATTAATATCAACACTATATGAGCAACAACTATAGTGTTCTAGTGAATAGTAGTATCAACACAATATGAGCAACAACTCTTGTGTTCTAGCAAATGATAATATCAACACAGTAACGAGAAACAACCCTTGTGTTTTGATTTTTTCTTTTCATTGCTTTTTATTTTTTTATTTTTTTATTTTTATTTTTATTTTTATTTTATATTTCTTTAGTTTTGATTTTGGCAGCGTTACTGTTCTTGTTCACTAGTCTTGTAATTTTCAAATGAAACAGTTCATCCTTTGTATAGGCTTTGAAGAATTAGATCATTGTAATAGAACGCACGTCACTTTCATCTTGCCAGCTACTATAACGGTAGTGTAGCAGTAAAAATATTGAGACTAAGCCATCAAATTTCTTAACTCGCACATATCAAATAAAAATCCCAACTGCACTTTATTATTTCTAGAGGAATGGGAAAGAGTGAATAAACCTAAAAAGAGGGGGAGAGAATCTTAGATACGGGGGTTGGTTATGCAAAGAGAAGGTATTAACACCCTAAACATCTATGGTACTCCGCATGAACCTCTTTGAAAATTTGTGTATTTTGGCTATAAATGTTTTATACAAAAATAGATGGTGGAGATGAGAAAAGAAGTATTTTTTACAATTTTCGCACTCGCCGCGGTTGTAAATTTTTAGTGCCTACATACAATCTTCCATGAAATAGGGGGCCAGGATAATCGTAGTTCACCTCAAAAAATTTAAAACACAAGTGTGCTGGTTAAATTTAAGAGAAGAGACATCATCGTCATATTCGAGTGGAAAACATACTTACTACCCACAATCAGGAGAAAGGAGAATTTACATCATCTCATTGTGCAGGATATAGTTTAGATTTCAAAATCAACAAAGTTTCACTCAACACCCAATTGGAAAATATCTCACTTCACGTCATATCGTAGAAGTATAGTACCTCGCATCATTACAAGAATCGACAAGAGTCTAATCTTTTGAGAAAAGTTTTGAAGTAAAAAGCCAAAGTGGAAAATGGTTTGAATGAGGTTAATTGACTTTTAGTTTTCTCACAAAAAATGTCAAAGTATGGTTAATTCATTTAAATTTTGGTTAAGAAAATATTTTTTGAAAACGTGTGGACTTAAGTCCAAGTTTATTATGAAAGCGGTTCAAGATAGAAAACAAGAAGAGTTTTGAAAATGATGGACAAGATTTTCGAAATTAAAGAAGATAGGACAGATGAAGGGACTATCCTAAAGCATAAAATAAAAACTAAGGAAAATAGTCGTCTAACCAACAAGAAGCCAACACTTGATATATAGAAGTCAATATAGAATTCCCATCCTTTTATATTGAAATCAAGCAAGCAAAGATACTAAACCTCTTAGGAATACCAAGCTTAAGATGAATTAAGTCTTCACAAAAATTGGGAAGAGTAATAACTGTATGCAGAGAAATTTCCCAATCACAAACAAAGCAAATAATTAGAATAACATGCACACCAAGAAAATGAACACAATGTCTTGGGGTAAACTCCAAGAACTCCAGATAAAACATCAACAAAGTCATTAGGTCCCAAGGGTAATCAAGGCTTCTATACCTAAGTCCGAGAGGTCAACAACTCGATAATGCCAAGGATACTAACCAAATAGTCCAAGTAACTTTAAAGCTTTTTTAATGTTCACGTTGATTATTTAGTGTCTTCAAAAAGAAAATAAAAGCTCAAATGAGCAACGATAAAATGACATAAAGATAAATGCTCAAATGAGCCAAGATGAAAATTGCATGAAATATAAATGCTAAAGTAAATGGTACATAAAAGTAAAGGAATAAAAATTAAATTCATAAAGAAAAAGCACGAAGAAAAAGCACAAAAATAAAGTCAATTGTTAATGAATTAATAGTTGGAGGTTAGTTGAATGACCATCTTGAAACTTGTATTTGAAAACTCATTAGAAGATTGATAAAATCAAAGCTTCTAAACAACAATGTTTTGTCAAGTATATCATTCATTTCAAGTACTCGAGGCAATCACATAT